AATATCAAAGTTCTCCAAAGTTTGACACGCAAAATTTGTGGTGTCTTTAGTGCTGTTCTTTGAGGGAACAAGAACTCGGAGAGTCCAAAATGAAGGAAGCTATAGTAGCTTATTAGCTGTGTTGCTCCATCCACTTTTGTTTGTCAAAGTATAAACTCCTCCACAAACGAGGAATGATTTGATGACAGGTAATTTGTCTTTTAAATGATCGGTGAGCATATCTCGTCCCATTAGCGAGTGAGCTCACTAGCCTAACTGATGATGCTAGTTAGCAAGCTAGCTGATGTGGAATGCTTTCCCCCTTTTCATTAACTCTATTGCATGAAATGATACATGGTACGGTCATGAGAATAAAATGTCAGGGGGTGTAAACGGCTCAATACAAAGAATATAGACTAGTGCTAGCATGTTTCTGACTTGCTAGCTCGTTCACCAACTACTGCTAAGATGTGTCGATTCATTTTTGCTTGCCATTTTGAATTTTTTGGTGCGACTGGGCCTGAAGACCTCAGTGAAGGAAACATCCTTTCTAACTTATGATACAGTATTTTAAGAGTGTTTTTTGTTTGTTTGTTTTTGTTTTTTGTATTTTGCTGTTTTCATTCACATTTTTGAGAGATCAACAAAAAACAAATATCTCATCGGTTCACTGTGGTGCTTGACACAGACGTCAGCCCGTCCACACACACTCACACACTCACACACTCACAGCCTTCTACCAATGGCCAGTGTTTTGTGGTGACAAGCTCTGTTTGTCCTCAGTGGGAGAATGTTTCTGTTTACTAGTCTGTCCGATGTGAATAACACCCACTAATCTTCCTCAGTCACGCTATTTATTCCTGTGTTTGAATTCCCAGGTTTATTTTACAGTGCACTGATGAGTCATTCTGATTACACAAATTCAAAAAGGAATATTACACAAAGTTTTCTTGTCAAAGTAATAAACCATTAAACTAGTTTAAGGTTTCCAGACTTACAGTATTTTTACTTAGACTGTATTCTTGTATTGTAATGCACATGAGTAATGGCTGTTTGAGTAAGTTGGTTCACCAAACCATGGCACGTTTATCTTGGATTTGAAAATGTCATCCTATAACCTGCCAAATATTTTCCCCTTTTACTTTGCAAGAGAGAAATTTCGCCCCGTTCCAAGTCTTGAAGGAAAAATGGGGGTGTTTTGTGGTTGCACGGCAGCAGTGAAGTCATTACATATTAGTGGCTATGCTTTCACATATTAGCCCAACACTGTTTCACTCCTCAAACTCAATCACCTCAAGATGACTGTGAAGCAATAAGCAATCGTTTGCTTAATTAAAGATTTTATTCAACTTGAACTCTAAAGGGAAAAATTTGAAAGACGATATCTTGATTTGTAATGATGGGGTCAATTTATTTTATTCCAAATAGCAGTTACCTAATGTCTTTGTTTTGGAAATCATTATAGCCAGAAGAAGTTAAAAGGCTAATTACTTACTAATTACACAACCGTGGGCTTTAATACTATAGGAGCCAAGTAAATGTGCTTGTTTTCTTCTGGCCCAGTGTATACCCAGTTCCATGACCCGTTTCTGACCCATATACAGCATGATTGTCAGATGCTACTTCCACATCTAGCCCTATTCTGGTGCACATACACAAAATCTTCCAGCTGTCAGCCAGTAACAGCCAGAATCTGACCAGATGTGGAAGTATATGGGCCAGACTCGAGCTGAGGACCCAGGCATATGTTGGGCCAGAAGTTTCATTTTGCCATTGCATGGCCTAAAGACACTTGTTACAGTACGATCTCATGACAAACAGCTAAGACTAGCAGTCTTCCTATCAGCCCATGTTATTTTGATCGATTACATACACATTGTAGGGGTCAACAGAGGTATACAAACTAGCCTCAACTAAAAAGTCTCAACTCCACTCCATTTTAGGATCAAGAGGAGTGATTAAATAAACTGCGACTGGAAACCACAGCCCCAGATGAGAATGAATTAAAATTAGACACACTTGTCCTAAAACTGCTGTGTGCTAATTATTGGACCTTTTAAAGAATCTGCAGTCTGTGGAGAAAAATAAGGCTGGCTTTACTTAAAAGGGACTCAGCCATTAACACTGCATACATCAATCTAAGTACATGAAGCAGCATGTACTGTAAACAAAGTATCAGGAGTGACTTCCGTTCGACTTCCAAACAAACAGAGAATATACAGTATGTTGTGTTAGAGAAGAAGTGCTGCACATCCTGAATTTGTCCTGCGGTGACCTCTGGCTCAGGGAGGTCTGTGGGAATAGGGAATTTAGCAGATGCCGTTTAGCAGAGTTCATTCCCCCAGAGGGCTGCGGTCATAGTTAATCTTGACCGTCCTCATTCTTTTTCTCTCTGTCTCATACTCACACATACTGTATGAACTAGGCGGAGTATCTGCAGCTCTTGAAAAGTCAACAAGAAATACTGAAATCAGCTCCTTCAAAATAAAAGGCCTTGGAAGGTATTAAAAAGTGTTAAATTTAATTCTGTATGCGATTGCACGCTGGTGAGAAATGTTACACACTTATAAACTGAAAGTGGGATGGTTGCAACAGTGGACTGTGTTCACAGGAGGCTGTTAAATCCTTGTTGGAGGAGTTTCAGACCTATGGTAACACTGTCATTACTGCAAGGGAGCTCACTGCCTCCGAATGGGCAAGTGCTGATTTAAGCAAAAGCTTAAATTGACTCTCCTCTCCTCTCCTCTCCTCTCCTCTCCTCTCCCACTATCACCTCCTACCTACTTCTTAATCCCCTGTAGAGTACTAATATCTACCCAGGACAGACCCATGAAGCTCTCACATGTGCGCCATAAAACATGCGGTAGTCAGTCTGGTTGGGCAAGATAAACAAATCTGGTGACTTTCCAGACCACTGGCCATGTATCATGGAGCCATGTATTTTTAACCCAAGGAAAAAGGGGCAGAGAGCCTATAGTGGGAAAGAGGGATTGGTTTGTAGAATAGTAGGAAACCTACACAGCTTTTGTTTTATATTCTGGTTTTTGGTTTTTATTACAGTTTGTCTGGAGTTTTGTGTCAAGTAAGAAAGCAGATTTGCGTCAACTGAACCAAAATTTTAAAGAAAGGACTAGTTTTAGAAGAGTAGGAAACCTAAACAGCCTCGCTTTGTATTCTGTCACACTTTATCATCTTGTAACTTGTGTTTTGTTGCCTCAATAGTCTAATTTTCTGTCACATTTAGCTACAAAGAAGACTGCTGTAAGCTTCTTTTCTGATGAGATTTTGCATTAGCTGATCAAAAAACGATGGACCCCCCCCCCTGCCCCCAATTATTCCCCTCCCCTCCATACACATGCATACAACCACGAGCGCTTTCCCTTTATGTTCCACAGTCATGCTATCTGGTGATGCACATTCTCCTCTCATGTGGAAAACAGAATACATGAATGTAGGTCAGCGCCACAGACTGTAGTCCACACGCCTCCTCTCTGGAACAGATTGGAAGTGCTGTTCATGCTTTCCCAGACTTCTGCCAGGAATTCCATACAAAATCCAGGGCGGCATGAACTCACAGATACAGCTAACGGATAAGACCTGTATGCTGCAGCACATGTATTAAGGACAGAACAACTAGCTTGTCCAAACTAGTCCTGCTAGTTAGATTATCTGCATAATGTCTGACTGAAATCTGCAGTGCTTCCTGGTTTGGAGCTCAGGTTGCATAAGATTGAGTCCGATTCACTAATCTGATGGGAATTGCGATGTGGCGACATACCATCGGGCCGCCATGTTCATGCAATTGGAAAATGACATCATGCCAGTCTGGGTGAATGTGGTTACAACTTGTCCTCATCTCACTGAAACTAGACGTTTGGTATGCAGTGAAACAAAAAGTAATTGTGTGGCGTGTTCCCTGCTCTACCTATAAAGTGTACAGCTTTACAGTAGTTAATTTCTGGGGGAAGAGTTACGACGTTGGTTGTTCCTGCGGAGCTCCACTGAGAGGATATTGGCATTACATTACTGTGGCAGTTTTTGTCTTTCATATAGCATATGATTCTGTGATACAGACCCACCCAAAGAGCAATAAAAACCTGACACTGTTGTTTTAGACTATATTTAACTGTATTTATCCCAACTTTGGTTTTACAGCTTTTCTCTGACTTTATACATCAGTGGTCATCGCTAACATCTTATTGGGGTGTACCCTGAATTTTTACATTGTCTTAAAATAGTGAATGTTGGGTTGACAGTGACATTAAAGGGTAAAAAAAAAACAACCAAAAAACGTAATTTCTCATTGACCACTAGTGGCATCCAGCTATTCACATTGTTTTGGTTTTATTTGTCCAGTTTATCAGTCTGTTTTTGATTCACATCTTATAACCCCAAAACAATGGAGCTGCTTGGAAATTTGTATTTGGTGCATAAAAAAATCATAAATTGACATTCAAAAAATTAAAAAGCAATCATCTGCCAGAAAAGTGTCCCTGTTGCTCAGGATAATCCCTTGAACACTTCATCTGTTTACAGTGTGTTCTGTTAATTACCCAGAGCCAACAGTACATAATGTTTCTGTAAAGATTTGTTAAATGTAGTTTTTTAATGTAGTGGGCAGCTAAAACGAAATTCACCTGCATTGTACAAGCTTAGAGGGAGAAATTCCCCTCAAAGTGTGACGTAAAACCCAAACTCTCTACATGGGTAGATACGATCATGTGTAAGTGATGAAAGATATTTTTGTTTTATTTGGTTGGACGCAGAAACCTCAGATGAATATCTCAAAAACTGGGCAAGTAAAACCAAAACAATCATATGTATCACATACCACAGAGATAAATGATAACGTATGTATTGTTTCGTGATTTGGGTGAACTGGCCCTTTAACCAGTGTTCAGTTTGACTTCTAACCAGTCTCACTTTGTGCAAACACATTTTACCATAAAATGACATTGCTCCTTTGTGTTTACATTATTACAGTTTGAATATAATTTAATATTGTTTTTGTCTGAACCCAGGTGCCTTTGCCAAGGTGAAAGAGAGCCAGCGGATGACTGACGAAGGGAAGATGGACCAGGATGAGGCCGACGGCATTAGGAAACGCTGCCGGACGGTTGGGTTTGCCCTCCAGGCAGAGATGAGCCACTTCCATCAGCAGCGAGAGGTGGACTTCAAAGACATGATGCAGGCCTACCTCACGGAGCAGATAGCCTTTTACCAACGCGTTGTTCAGCAACTAGAGCGCACCCTGCGCATGTACGACTGTCTGTGAAGACACCAAACCGCTGCCCAGTTCAAGATGCCAAAAAACACACGGAGGAGAAGGAGAGGAGTCTTGACTCTGTTATCAAGGCGTTTTGTGTCGGTCATATTTGGTTCAGTTGGAAAAGACTGGAAAATGAGGCAGTAGATACTGGAAGACATACAAAGCCAGTCATTCTTTCACCTTGATGGATTCAAAGTCATATTTTTGTCTACTGTACCTTTTTTTCTGAAATACACATCACATAGGCAATGTCACAGCGTATTGTTTATTTTACATAATTTAAGGTGTTTGTAACATTAAAATAAGAATATAGGTTTCAAATTCATAGTGGATCCATAGTTGATTGTTCTATAGTGTAACACATGAAAGCCATGAAACGGGTTTTATTTTGAAATTGTCCCCTTCTCTCCAACATCTTGCACTTTGGCTTCTGATTCAACTGATGTTTTTTTTTTTTTTAATTCAGCATTTTAGGATTTTATCAAAGTCACTTTTATCAAAATACAAAAAAAAAAAAATAGTATTTCTGTTAAAACAACTGTAAAATATGGTAAAGGGGAATTTCACCATCGCCTCCTCTTTTTCATGTTAAGGGCTCAACTTGCTCAGGTGTTCACTGCTTTATTTCACTTACTTCTCTCATGTTATGTCTTAATACAAGTCCCAGAGGCCTGTCTAAACTTTGCAACATGTTAATGATACCATGTAATTCAGTTTCATTTTCTTACTTTTTTCATGAAGTAAGTGCCTTTAAGGCTCTGAGGCATTCTGGTGGAGTATTTGTAAATGGACCGTTTGTCTGTAGCGTGGTTTTATCGGGTGAATTGTTGGAATGAGTCTTGTGTTTGGAGACGAGTTTGCACATGTTTTTATATACTGGTGGGTCATAGTGTGTGTGTGGGTGTGTTTATGTGAAGTGAATGAAATGAGTCAACAACTGTGCTGATCAATTCCCTTTGCCATGGTGAAAAACAAACAATTCTATCATTTCTGTAGCAGATTTATCTAACCATATCATATGAAAAATAGTCCTTTTTATTTTAAGTGCATTAACTGGTTGTGTGAGGAAGAATATCAATTTGACATTTCAGCCTTTGTATTAGATCATTTAATTCACAATAGAGCAAATTCTTCCTTTTACCATAGCTTTGTGTTTTCATTTATTCAAAGTAAACCAAATTATATCATTCACAATATCTGTATCACATTGCAATAATAACAAAGACAATTTTTGAAAAATATGCATATTCGCTTTTTTGCATGAAGTTAGTGAAAGGATTGATATCACTCTCATTTATTTTTGTTAAGTATGAAGCTACAGCTAGTAGATAGTTAGCTTAGCATGAAGACCGGAAACAGTGGGAAACAGCTAGCCTCTGTCCAAACTTAACAAAACAACACGTACCAGCACCTCTACAGCTCGCTAATTAACACGTTATCTCTCATCTCTTAAATCTGTCCGAAAACCAAAGTGTAAAACAATTTGAGGTTTTACAGAGAGTTATGTCACTGCGTACATTCAAGAAATAGTCCCACACATAACTTGGGTTTTTGTGCAGACTAACAACAAACAAGGCATATTTTATTACCTTTAGGCGTAGCTAGGCTGTTTCCCCCTTTTTATGCTAAGCTAGGCTAACCAGCTGCTGGCTGGACCCTTTAAATTTATCCTGCACAGATGAGCGTGGTATCAGTCTTCTCTGACTCAAAGTGAACATACATATTTCCTCAAATGTCCTTTAATAATGATCAATTTACCATATTGCTTTTTTTTCATGTAGACGTGTCACTTTCTATATTTTGCTGAGAAATTTAGTTTTAAATGTTATCACAGTTTGTCAATGCTAATTTTTTCACATCAGATGAGATTTGCGTGACCGGGAGGATTGGAGTCCCACTCCTCTCTGTCGGACTGAGTGTTCACTACTAAATAAGAGCTGTTCCAGTAACATTACTCACCCTGTTTAACAAGAGAAAAATTCTCATGGAAACTTGTGGTGTAGACGAGACTATCTTTAGCGTCGTATTGACCTTTGAGGTGTATGTGGAGTCTGCGTTATATGCATTACCTCAGGAAGTGTAGGGAATGTATTCACGAGCTGGACGCCTTTTTTTTTTTTGTTGTTTTTTTCTTTTCAAGCAACTTCCAGTGTTTATTTGTCAGTTGTGAAACACTGAGTGTTCATTTTGATGGAAGAGGGGTTGATCAGTGGTACAGTACATTTGGGTGTGGAATGAAAAGTGAAATGAAAATTAATTTTGTGAAATCTCTTCCTGGTGTTTTTGAGTTTCACAGTTTGAAGTTGGAACCTTATTATGGTTCTTTTATAACGAAGAAGTGCTGATTCAGAGTGCAGGTTTCTCAGTAAACAAATGGTCTGTGTGTCTGTGTGTGTGTGCATGACTCAGATATGAGTGTTGTCTCAGTGACTGGTGCTGCTCAGTCCACATCTGCAGCCTTTAACTCTTTGCTGTCTAAATGTGCTGTTGTTTATGTTTGTTTTTGAACAAACCTCTGCTTTTCATATGTCAGCATTTTTTTTTTCGGTCAGCATTTGCACTCATTGCAGTTTCTCCAAGACCAAAGAAGTCGGACATTTTCCATATCGAGCTTCCTTTTTTTAAAACTCTGTTTGATGTTGTAACATTAGATTTGTTCTCTGGTTTTATAATTGAATCTGGAAACTGTGAAGAGAGCATTCGGAAAAAAAAACATTCCCCAACCAGGTTTCATAATGACACTTGCCTCTCATGTTCCAAAGCTGCATGATAAGTTAAATGCCAGGCATTTCACACAGGTGACTGTTTCTCAACATGGATGTGTGACCTGGTGAGTTGCAGGAGCTCTACGCTTTAGTTTCAGTCTCTGATGGTGATGAACAGATGGTGATTTTCAGTAAGTAATTTGTCACTTGATTTAAGGGAAGGGGACCTAAGAAATCTTAATAAAAATAATGATGGTGATTTCTCTCTCTGTCTTTGTCATCTTTGTGGGTTTGAAATATCAATCGGAAATCATTTAAAAAACAGTGGACAATACAACAATGTGAGTTTATTTCCATGGACTAGTCAAGTGCTCTCTTTTTGAACACTTGAAGTATATACAATAATCCATACAAGCCTCCCCATAGATGTTTTCACTCAAAGTTCTCTTATTGTCATATTCTACTGGTTTTTTCTACCCCTACTCAGTACATCAGGGAATTTGTGAACAGGATGTAATGACACACACAAACAGTTTGTCCTGAATATAACCAAAACAAGGACAGCCAGGAGCTGTTATACACATTGCTTTGTATGTGTAAACACACTGACACGGTGATGTAATTTCAAAATGAATGAAAAACAAAGAAATGTGTGCACATCTTGCCAGAAGTCTGAAAAGAGAACCTCAAACCTTTGGATGAGTAATCATTCTGCTAAGTTTTATCTGTGTGTTTTTTTTTTTTTTAGCCATGCTAGTGCTGTGGCTCAGTGGATGTCAATGCCTGTCTACAGGTGGCTCGATGAGTCCACCACTTTGCTCCAGACTGAAATATCCCAACAACTAATGGATGGATCACCATGAAATTTTGAACAGACATTTATTTTCTACTCAAGGTGAATCCTACTGACTTTAGCGATCCCTTAAATCTTCCTCTAGTGCCTCCATGAGATTGACATTTTTTGTATAATGTGAAATATCTTTAATCAATTAATTGGATGGAGTCAAAATTTCCCAGGGCATTCCCACCAGTCTCAGCTGTACTTACTGTGTTTGATGGGAGTGCACCGCAATGCTAGCAAAACTTTAATGATCTTATTCTGACATTGGAAATTTGTCTGTGACTGTGAAAAGTCATTTGGCATGAGGGTGGCATAAGACAGTGCTCATGGTAAACATTATACCTGCTAAAAATCACCATGTTAGCTCTGTCGCTTCGAGCATGTTAGCTGACATTAGCATTTAGCTCATAGCGGGGCTGTGCCAAAGTAAAGTTTCACAGAGTTGCTAGCATGGCTGTAGACTCTCGGATCTTTTTTTCTTCAAGTATAGTTATTTAATCTTATGTGACAGCATATATCAGTTACCATTGTTTAAAAGCCACAATACTTTAGTCCAAGATCATTTTATTGAAAGTTTCCTTATATGAGTGAGTTGCTCTTGCCTGGTTGATTGTTGGAGACAGCTGACGAAGGCCAAACTGTAGCCCAGTACAATATATTTCAAATGAAACCCAGGCTTCTCCCTTTAATGTGTTCCAGATGTTTCGGAAGCAAACATTCAAATTGGACAGCTCAAATCTGTTGTTAAATGAATGAGGTGTTGGCATAGACCTTAATAATGGGGAGCTCCCTACAGGTGTTTTAACAACACTATTGTATTTTGGACCTTTAAACTAACATTTCCTTCGTGGTGATATATAGTGATGCTGACCGCTGCTCCGCTGTCTGTCAAGAACGAAGCATCAGCGTATGCTACAGATACACTTGCAATCTTTTTAACTTGGAAAAAAAAATCCAGATGTTTCTATTCTATCAGGACCCAATGCCTGCGTTTGATGGTTACTTTTCAGGCTCTCTCAGGGTTTGGTATGCAACTGGAGATGATGTCACCTTCACAATATGAGCCAGGGGGAGACGTCATCACATTCACCAATAAACCAAAGACTGACACAAGAATGAAAATCTACATTTGAAGCATACATCACTGCACTAATTGGAGTGTTGAAAGCAGATTTAGAAAGTATTTTCAGACCAGTTAAGTTTGTCTGCCTCACACTTCTCTGATGTTCACCGCAGAGTATTAGTGAAGCAAGAAGAACTCAACGGCAGTAAAATAACACCTTGGAAAAAGTCCTAAAACCTTGAGGTATTGCTGGAATAATGCTATCAGTGCACTTCTCTGCAGCAACCCGGTTTGCGTGAGCGAGGAAGCGGTGGAGATGAAAACCGGTTAACTTTGCCGTCTTTTTCCATCGGACGCAGCTGAAGCCTAGATGAGCTAACTACGTCTTTTCAAGGGAAGGGAACAGTTGTTGAAACGACTCCAGCGTGGTGCAAAAATGGAAGTGGTGTAATAAAAACTAAAAATGACTGGAAGCAGCGCACTCCTTCAGTTATCACAACCTAAAAAACCTGTTGCTACTGGTCCCGTCGTGCTCGGGTGTCATGTTGCAAGTCACATTTACATTACTTAGCACATTCTTAACTTCTTTTCATGCTCAAAACTCCAAAAGTAAAGTAACTGACTTGGCTTATCCAAAGGGAAAAGCATAAATTTCTTTCAGGTCTGCAGTGCTGCTGCAGGGGCACATGGTAAAAGCGTTATGGCCCAAAGTGCCAGCAGATGTCTATAAAAAAACAAAAAAAAAAACAAAGTGAAGGAAAGGAGCAGTTTCATGTCTGCATAGTCTGGGGAGGAAAACTGTGCCTCCAGTCCCTCAACAGGATACCTCAGAGGACACGACGTACCCAGGATCCTCATTTGTTTCCCTTAATGAAAAACCAGTCTGAGCTCCAGTGCACAGAAGTAAATGTGTTCAGATCGCAGCGGCAGTAGAGCTGTCTGCATCAAATGCTGGACTGCAGACATGAATCACACATGAAATTTTCCAACAGATTCCAAGTCTTTTTAATCTCAAATTTCAGAGTCATTTGTAAGTAAGCTTCCCTGAAGTATGTGGTCTGTGTGTTCAGTGGCAAAAGGAATACTTGAATTATAAATTTGTTCCTGCCATCACTTTCGCAGATGACCAGGCGGGATTGTTGTCTCACTCACTCCTGAACTGTCTGCAGTGACATGGACTTGACCTCCACAGTGCAGAGGATTACAGAGTCCCACTTCCTCGAGCATCTGAAGGAAACAAAAGCAACAGATGGTCGAATCAGCACACATGGTGGGTCTGGTAATCCCTCCTCCTCCTCCTCCTGCTCCTCCTGCTTGCTGCCGGGGCTAGTGTCACAGTAGGGCCAAAAGCCAACATTCAAACCAGATTTGTGGCTCCATCAGGTTTGTTTGGGAGAGGAATCCCCGCACTGGATGTTTTTGGGACTAATTAATGATCCTTCACCTAATTACTAAAGATCCACAATCATGGAAAAATCTATATTTTGACCTTTCCAAATAGGTCAAGATCTGTTTTTTTCTCATTTGGTTTTGTGTTGAAATGCACAGGATTATCTTTACTACAGTGGTTCCCAACTTTATTAACCTGGAGCTGTTAAAATGAAGCAGCAGCTTCTGTGGATTTCAGCATGTTTATCATATGAAATGTTAACCTGCCTCTTGGTGAAGCTGATTTGAAACTGAAACCAGAATATTTTAATAAACTGACGTGTAAGGAAAACAACATCTCTCAAGCAAACAATGAGTCATTTTTCTTCTTAACTTGAGCATTCATCACAAATAAAAGGCTGTAGAGGGTAAACAGTTTACAGATGTAGTCAGTAAATCTTGTGTTGCCTCAATTCTGACAATGTTTAACATGTCAGCTAATAGTTAATGGGGAGTAGATTGAGGCAAACTGGATTTGAAGCTGCTGAAAACATGGCCACTGTGGAGTTAAGATGTGTTTTTAAAACTTATGGAAATTATTTTTGAAACAATCTGCCGCCTTGATGTGCATTCAGAGCCCGAGTCATTATAAATTAGCCCTATGTAGCCACATAAGCGTAAAGGCACACTCCACTGATTTTACACATGTAATTTTACTCTGTCAGAACAATTGTATAATGTTAGCCGGGGCTGTGAAGGCAGCTGGAGAGTGGAGTTTAAAAGATATGGACTTCTACCAGGCAGTAAGAGTCTACTGAAATACACAATTGAATTGTATTATGGGAAGTGTAGGATGAAATGTTTCGGGGCCGGGACAATTAAAGGCTAAATACCTAAAAAAGACTCGACACAGACAAGGACAAAACAGATAGAACCATAACTACACTGTACTATGTGCTGAATACTATCAGTGACAGGAATACATTAAAGGTGCTGTGTTTAGAGCAAGTCAGGAGGATATTCTTTAAAAACTATGGAAAGAAACAATGGATGCTATGGGTATTACAAACTTATCAATAGTTCTTTTCGGTGAAAGCATCATTAGAGTTTGTTTTTGGAACAATCTGGGGAGTAACAGTGATATGGATTTATGGAGCTTTAAAGTCTTGAGGACATACCTTATCAGCTTCTGTCCCTCTGTCTATCATTTACCATTTTGTATTAAAGCTTTGTCTCTCAATCTGCCTTTTTATGTCTCTCTGCCTGCCCTCCTTCAACTCCCTGTCTCATTTCCCTCATTTTTGAGGGGGAGGGGTGACCCACACTTCAGACTGACTGGTTCCAGATGCATCTTACAGACCAGACCCATCAGAGAAGCGCATTTCAGGTGTCTGAAGGGCTTTCTTTTCCCACTGAAGTCATCCCACCTTAAACATATGTCATGTGTTCCCTTCCCTACAAGTACAAGTGAAAACATGCTTGGTCACAGGGAAGCCAGTAGAAATGGGAAATCTTCATCTCTGTTTTCTCAGCTCCACAGAACATTTAAAATGCGGCTGTTTGGCTTCATGTAATGAAACCTCCAAGTCACACACACCTTCACACACTATCCATTTTTTCTCCGTAGATCAAAGGTGGAAGCACTCTGAGGCAAAAGGTCACATCTCTACTGACTCCACTGACTCAAAGAATGCTATATCTAATGGTCCTGGAGGGCGCTATGGATAAAAGCATCCATCATAGATTCATATTAACACTTGTTTTCTTATACACACCTACTACCGATGCTAAAACTGCCCAAGCTGCTATTCAGTCTGAAACACTTGGCCATGATGGAGGACATTCCAGTGGGTTGAACCCAAAATGCCTCCACATACTTCTGGAAAGTCCCAACAGAATGTTTTGGTAGAGGATTTTCTTCTCCTTTTTTTTTTTTTTAAGTCTTCAGGCCACAACAGCCTCAACATGGCTGTCTCCTCT